CCGAGGCAAAACAAATAACAAATTTATTACTTCTCAGTAATAATTTCTATCTATATAGTGATATCACACCGGACGAGTTCAAAAAGAAAGCGACGAATTATTGTATATATGATTTGGTCACTCGTTATGGTCCGCGAACCACATGTCAGAGCAAGAGGTTAACTTTTTCACCTTAGCTTCAGAAGTTTCTATTTGTACAATGCAATGACTCGAAAGTGTGTACACTTTTATTTTATCTCATGTCGGTAATTAAAATGATAATTTTTTTTTTTAATTTAACATTCACGACACTTACAATTTGACGCGTTAATTTGACAGATTTCTGATTTTAAACGAGCAAGATTGAAACAACTTTTACAATCCTCGCCTGACAATTTTTGCTGACTTTTATCAATGGAATACATATCTATACACATTACATATATCATAGAGAATCTATAATAAATATCATATCTCTATAGATATACATATCTATAGAGAATACATATGTCATAGAATATTATAAAATACACATATCTTCTTAAACCTTTAATTTTGATGTTTCAACCAATTTCATAAACAATCCCAATAAACTTGTTTCATTCGCGAAATTGTTACCTTCAATAAGAAAAGTAAATGTCAAGAAATGTTCTAAACCTAACTTAAAGCTAACCTAATGTTAAGACAGGTATACTGTCCACTAGAGGCTATCACATTCACGAAAAGTTTACGTACAGTTTATACAACTGTCAAAAACTCAGAGAATCCGGAATTGGTAGCTTTGAACTCGCAGAAACCTTCCGCGGGATCCTTGGCCCAGATATTCGGCCTGGTCAGCGTTTGCACGTAATCGACTAACCCCCGTTATAGGATAAGAAAACGATGACACACGGCACAACCAGTGGTGTGGATCATGATAGCAAGATCTTGCTATTCGATTCACCGTCTTTGATAGGCAACACCTCCGATCAAGCATATCGAAAATCGTCTGAAACGATTGGCATAGTCTTTCGACGCTCCACTTTATCTCTCTCTCTCTCTCTCTCTCTCTCTCTCTCTCTCTCTTGCTCCTTTTTTCGGAAAGTTCGAAACAAAGTTAATCCACGAAATTGTTAATTACTCGTGGCCTCTAATCGATCGCGGCTTGCTTGAAACATTTCCGCCGAAAAAGTTTAATCGGCCGATCTTAGGAAATTACCCACGATCAGAGAGAAAGAGCGAGTATCGATCGGCCACTTCTCGCCCGAACGTTTCCTCTCGGTTTACTTTTATTTCCTTAATTATCCGATGACGGTGAGTAATTATCGGGGGAAAGTGCACTTCGCTCTGAATAGCGGTGCCTGTTGATAATCCGCGCTGTAGAGGCCAGCCTCTATGTACTAGCACGTCGTCTCATCGATCCTTTTCACTCCACGTTCGTGGTTCCAATCCAATGGTGTGGACAAAACGATACAACTGGTTCTATACATCGGAATGTGAACTTTGTTTGGTAGCTTTACATATTCCGGATTGTTTTCAAAAAGTATCATACTGAAATACACTATTAACACACATATGCAATCTTTTGTTTGTTTACTAAAGAAGTTTTGGAAAATTTATTATTAATAAGTAGTAATACTTTACTACCATACCACCGTATCATCTAGTCAGCTTTTCAGTATTTTATTTAATCATTTCTACACTGCATTGCCTAAGTGCATTTTGTCCATGGATAACCTATATCCATATACTTCGCTTGCTATAGTTTCTATATGTATATGTCATCGCTGAATAAGTGAACGATTGTACGCTTAACATAATAATAATAAACAATTGTACATCTAACAACAACAGTAAGTAATAATCGTATATGAAGCAAATGTAACATTAATCAAGAGTATTTACCGTGATGATCTCAAGAAACACAAAGATGGATAGACAGGTTATGTTCTAAAAGAGCCGTTACGAATCACTCATATCGAACACTATTTTCCTGAAATGTACAAATATAATAATCTATCGTCGATCGATTGTCTTCTACGTAATTAAAATTATTATCAATTTTAATAAAGTTTGCATCCGTACCTCGTTGCAATGCAACTCCTGTTGCGAAAAGAGGATTTCAATCGAACAGGACTGTTACGCGCGTAACGAAACAAACATGGCTGCCGATGGTTAACAATCAAAATCGATCGTTATCGATATATCGCGAACACGAGTCAAACTCAAATTTGTTATCGACATACATTTCAATCGTTACTTTCAATACTACTTTAAATATTTTAAATTTAATTAATTAATTGATTAATTATGCTTCGGAGAAAATAACGAAAATTTTCATTAGCGCACAGCGTACGTACGTATATATAATGCAGCGAGCGACTAACCTAAAAACGTACTTAACCTAAAAACGGATCCGCGCGCGTTGAAGTCACGGGCAATGGCAATTAACAGTAGCAATGTTTTAATAGCGTTTCCACGATCAACACGCGCGTTAAATGATACGCCGATTACCAAGCAAGCCGCGTTACGTCAAAGTCGAAACGTTGACAAACGTGCGCGTGCCCACCTGCAGCTACGTCAACCGAATCGAGAGAACAGGCATCGAAGGACGAGCGACGAGAACGAACGAAATGAAAGATCGCTGTACGGGCCGTTTATCTCGAAAGTGGTATCAGTCACTTTGTTTTCTAATTCAAGACATTTGACTCTAAGCTTTTCTTTTTTCTTTTTTTTTTTTTTAAAGAATTTCCAATATAAATAAATAAATCACGACATTGGAGTATTGAATTACAATAATAAATAAATTGACAAAAATCTTGCAAAGAAATTTTGCACTATTTCCGTACGTAGAATCACCTGTCAATCGACTGACCAACGAACCAACGAACCATAGAAATTTAAAATGTAACGATAATTCCCCCAGCTATTGAACGACGATATGGCTTGTAAACGTCATCGTCACGTTATCACACCGTGTGCTTTGCGTGTTCCTTGCTACATTTACGATCGAGTCAACTGTTTACAAAAAATATCGTGGAATCGAGTATGACAACACCTCTTCGCCGAGAGATCGATGAAAAATTCAAAGTCGTCGTAAAGCACGGGGTACGTACTCAGAAAAACGACTAGCGCTAGCTGACACTTTCATAAAACGTTTTGTACGTAACCGTCACACAGTTATAGTCAAATTCAACAGAAATTCGACGTCCGAAGGTCGACGCGAGCAACGTCACACTCCAGTCACATGTTTGTTCTTCGTCACGCGGTTTTATCGCACAACTAACAAGCACGAGAAAGCACGAGAAAGAAATGCGCAAATTATCTGCCGGTTCATATGTATAATTATATATTTCTACGCACTGGTTCGAGTTCGAGTTCGAAGACTCGAAGTCCAATGCTTCAAAATCTTTTTCAATTCTCAGTCGGTTAGTCAGTAATTAGCTATTTGCTACTGCAACACCGCGTCTAATAGGTATAAAATTATCCGTAATGTAATAAATTATGTAACTAACATGATTCCCAATGCGGAGGAAGCTGAAAATTTCCATTGACACGTTGACTGCCACAAACAAAAAAGGACGACAACGCTGCAAAATATTAGAAGATATTACACTGCTATACTACAGATATTACTTTACTATAGTAAAGTGCAACGAAAGTTATAATAACATCTGATCATTTACGTTATGTCTAAAATTCTTTGTTAACGACATCTTTTAATTTTAATTGTTGCAAAATGATTTACACAGACAGAAAGTGATCATCGGTCGCAGAAATTGCTACAGACCACATAACCTAATCCGCTTTACAAATCAATCATTAATTTCAAGTACGAAGTATATTCTCCTGCATAACAGCAATGCAAATCTGATAAATCCATTGGTTATCTTACTCGACGTAATATTACAAAAGCGTAATGATTTCGCATGATAGGAGTCTACAACGTAGAAGTTGTCACTTGCCAATGACTCGCGTAACATTGTTATGTACTCGGTAAGCTGCGACAGTGTGTATTCTCAGTTAGTAAGCATCAGAGACAGAAAACGCAAGGCAAATCGGACCTATGCCCTTAGGAGGTACTTGAGAGCACGATTGAATGAAGATCCAACTAGTAAACACTAGAGAGGTGGGCATCTCGCGAATCGAGCCTTCCTCTTCGTCTCATGCACGCTTTCTTCTCAACCGGGTGTTGAAAGCATCGATACGAGCGCGAGATAAGGGAACGTACGAGACGATAATGATACGCGGACGGTCATATCGCGCAGCAGGCGAAAACACCGACCGTCCGGTTGGACTGATAAAAGGAAAAGGAAAAGAACGTCAATGTCAAAACGTACTCCTCCTTTCTGTCGTCGAAACAACAGATGAAGCTCGGTTTTTTAAATCGCTGACCAGACGCTCCCGCATAGAGGGAAACTGTCAAGCGACAAGACGATTTAACGAGCACTTCACATGCTCGTGGAAATGACAATGCTCGCTCTTTTGTTATTGTTCTTCTGTTATTGTCGGGTGGTGTACGTACCTCTGCGATTGAACGGTCGAACCCGAACGGCAACCTTTATTTTATCCGTAGCCATGATTTCGCACCGGTAACGCACACTGTATATCCCGATCACACGGAACTGCTCGACGCTTTTGTGTACACAGATACGATATTCACACGATCATCATAGCGCTGCATCATTCTCAACCCATACCCGCGAGCGTTTCATCCTTTTCAAACAGCACTACGTCTCACCGAGCCCGTGACACACTTCGCCATATTGCTTGTAGCTCGCCGTGCGCCAGACGACGGGTCGCCCTATCGAGTGAACGTGCTTCCGAGAACTGCCGCTAGGGACGCTCGCGAGCCGCGAGCTCCGCCGTGACGTCACGCGGCACACGCTGCGCCGTCCGCCATCTGCTGGTCGGCCATCGAACTGAACTCTGAGCGACCGATCAATCGACCGCCAGGTCATCCTACGCGCCAATTTCAAACGCTCCTTTTGCGTTGCTGCGAACAATTTGTTTTAAGAATATTACACACTTAATCAATGATATTATTAAGAATAACTTTCCGAAAAATATATTTGTACATAATTGTATTGTAATATATTGTGCATAAATTGCAATAATAATATCGTAATACATTGTACGTGAATTGTAAATCGTGCTCGAATTAGAATTATATGATAAAATTATAGAACAGTGAAAATGGATAATTTGCAATAAAGAATAATAGTATTTTTTTATTGAACACTGCGAGGAATTTATTGCGCGTTAAAACAGGGACGCATTCTGTCTGATTATTTTTCTACACTAGTGCTAATTAACTAATTAAAATCGAACAAAACCATTTGGAAATTTTAAAGAATTAAGATTAGCCATTCAGTTGTTATAAATTATGTATTAGAAATATTTGGCAATAAATTTGAAATATGAAAAGATATTTACTTTCTTAGGATTCGACTAGCGATGACGATTCATCGCTGACCTTTTATTATATATAACGCAATAAAATACAAGACAGATATATAAATTTTACAGGTAAAAAATACGCAAAACTGCAACCATAATAAACTATAGTTCTGCCATTTACCAAATACAAATGAAATGAAAATACTTGCAATAATAAGCATGGTGCTACCACCTGTAGAACACAATTAAAATGGAAAAAATATAGCAGAAATAAGCTAGATACTGTCATCTATCGGATTTTTTCAGTTTGTCCTTTTAATTTATTCCAGTCAGACTCGGGCCTAGATGGCAGCACTATACGTAGACAAAGAGTGCAACAGTGTGCGACAAAGACAGACTTATATCATGTAACAGACAAAGAGTGCATTAATGTGTGATAAAGATAGCAATAAATTTTAATTTCACTGATTCGCCGCTACGCGACGCTAGCATTTCATTGTCCATGAATCGATTAAGTTTTTATTTGAAAAAAAATCAATTAAGAGGATTAATTTGTAAACTTTTGCAGTTGTATTTTTGTTTTAAGATCTTAATCTTTCTTTTTATATTTCATTTGATCTAGAAAATGTATGAATAAAGATTTGAAATTTCCGCCAATCGCTGATTGGAATTATATTTAATTTCTCATAAATTGCACTTGAAATTTCAGTCCAAATCATTCGTCAACGTAATTCAATGTATGCATAATAAATTTTATCATGTTCATAAAGCTACGTTGATCAAACATATTTCCATAATTAAATATGTATATCAAATCTGGAGGAATAGTCTGAATATTTTCTATAACGATAGTTTCCCCTAAAAATCATATAGGGTGTCCCGAATTTAAACGACCAAAGAGAACCTGAGGCGCACCTATAAAAAGAACAAAAAAATATTGTACAAAGTTTATCAGGAAACGTCTTGTTTACACAGTTATAAACAAATATTGCGTGTATGAAATAAACAACTACGCATTTTTCTTTACCACTTGATTTTTTTGCTTATGAAGTATTTTAAAACAAAAGATTCAACAGAAGTAACTTCACACGGAGATCTAGCGTAAAGAATTAAAAATCTAATTTTATCGAAATTCAGCAAAATCCTCTGGAACATTATAGTGTTGTTAATTCTATTTACCAAAATTAAGCTTGATGGAATTACAAATTATTTTTTTATCGTATTATTATAATTAATGATACGAAATTATTATTGCGAAAGCGCATGAAAAGTGCGTTTTCCATTATTTACATATTTCATGTATACAGTATTTGTTTGTAACTCTGTAACAAAGTCTCTGTTTGATGTCGAATTTTATATAACATTTTTTTCTTTCTTCTATATGTAGATTAAGTCCTTGCAATTTGGCTGTTTAAGTTCGGGATACCTTGTATATAATTCACTAGCGACCATCAGCCAACAGAATTTACTATTTACAGAATATACAGTGTACACATACTATATTACACATACTATTGCATGTTTTTCTTTGACTTGGCGGTAAAACAATTTATTTTCAGGTAACTGTTTACTGCCTCATGTATAAATAATTATCCATCAATGTAATAATATATTTGTGTTTCATATTACAGATATTTTTTTTTAATCTGAAGTATCATCGATGATTATTAAACTTGCTAAAATAATAGACTGTTCTTCAGAGCACCCGTCCTATCCTGCATCTAATCTTCTACAACACCGTTCAAACTCCTCATGGCGTTGTGCAAAACCGGGAGAAATGCTTGCCACTGTCACTTTCGAATTGGCAGAACAATCTTGTATCACAGGTTTAGACGTAGGCAATTACCGTAGTTGCGTAGTAATTGTTACTGCTTCTACAGCATCAAAACCTGATACGTGGGTTCCCATTGTAAATCACCAGTTCTTGACAAACGATGAAGCTGCAAATAGTAAATTTAGAGATCAAGTACAGATATTCACGAAGAAAGATCTGAATCCGGATACAGTAAAAATAAAATTTGACCGTGTGAAAGTGACTTGCATGCAGTCAGCCAATTTGAAAGAATTATTTGGATTATCATTTATTGAGTTAAAAACAGAAGTTGTAGTTGATATGAAATTAAATATCTTTGGGAGATTCAAACTGAAGAATCCAGAAGAAGATAACAGCATTGGTCACAAGAAAACAGATTATAAGAATGAATTGCTTGCAAAAGCCAAAGAAGCTAGTATGAATAACTTCTCCAAGCGACAAGAAGAGAATAGAGAACCAATGAAAAGGCCATTGCTGCAAAAGTTAGAAGCTGGAAAAGCAGAAGAAGTATTTGGATCTAAGAATAAAGATCCTAACAATTCTAGTACAATGAATGGTACTAAATGTAAAAATGAGAAAGTGTCAAATGATAAACCGCTAGCAAGAACTCCATTTGGTGATATTGTACCTTCAACCTCATCCAAAGTAAATAAAACTAACACACAAAATAACACATATTCAAGAAAACGTTCTCTAAGTCCTGAACAAAGTTCCTCAAAGCAGAGTACAAGTAACGAAAATAAAGATTGTTCTCAGTGTCAAGATGAAAATAAGATATGTAATAATTGCAAAAAGTTGCCAAAACCTAAGCCAACAATTATACCTGAAAGACCTGCAAAAAAGCAAAAAAGATTATTTTCAAAGCTTTTCGAAGATATGTCATTTTCACTCAGTGGATATGTTAATCCACAGAGAGATGAGATTAGGAAAAAGGCCCTTCAAATGGGTGCAAGATATATTGCTGATCCTAACACGACTAACAAGAAATGTACTTACTTAATTTGTGCCTTTAAGAATACACCAAAGCATCAGCAATTAAAGGGCCATTGTAAAATTGTTTCACATACCTTTATTGAAAATTGTTTTAATGAAAAGACAAGGTAAGATCATACATAACTAAAATATATATATAAGTCAATAAACTATATACTACATAATACTACTTCTTTCTAGATTTCCTTGGAGACGATATGCCCTAGATAAAGAAGATACTACTCAGCCAGAAAGTGAAGAAGAAATTTTAGGTAGTTCATCTCCATTTAATGCATTCGAAGAGGATACTGACTTAGATTCTAATTGACGAGATGACTATTTTTTATTATTATTATTATAAAATAAGTGCTGGCGCAAAATTTACATAACAAAAATAAAATTTTTCAGTAAGTCATATTTTGTAGAAAATTTATTTATTACCAATACATACTACAATTTTCATAATGTTAATAATAACATATATTTTTGTTTATTATACGTTCTTATTTAAGATTCAAGTAAATACATCGTGACTAATGTTTTAACAAAAAAGATGCGTATCTTGGATACCACGACACAAAAATTTAAATTTAGTCATATTTTCAAAAATTCATTTATTTAGCGGTAATAAATATTACCGCAGAATTTATATTAATCAAAATCAAAATAATTATGTTTTGAACGTGAAAATTTTTGACCGAATATATACACCGAAAATTCAAAATGAAATGTGTGACATAAATTATCGAAACTTTGCGCCGGTTCCGGAAAGTAAATGCCCAGTTGCGTAGAAACACTAATGGCGTGAACGTGAAAAAACTTCAAAAGTCGTCTGTCATTCGATCTCGAAATGGGTGATGCAAGCAATGTCTTCGGCTTTGAACTTGTGCAAGAAATATACAATAATCAGATCACAAGAAAAGAAGATGTTTTAATATTATTTGTTCATTGGTATCTTATAAGGCATGGATTCAGATGTATTGGAATCGGCGATTCTGTAAGTAACAATGTTTTTGTGAAATATTGCGCAATCTCAATGTTTCATGCAATAATATCTTTAATTAATTTACACAATGAAAAAACAAGAGTTACCGAAATTTTATAATACATAACCTGTAATAATCGTTTACTTGTATGCTATAGTAAATGATTTATGGTACAATTTTATGTCTTAAAGCATAAGTCTAGAAGTACTACAGCAAAAAAAATATATGGAAATTTTGTAGAGAGATAGAATAGTCCTTTAATAATAGTATCCAAATAGTAATACCCCAAAAATTTTTTCTTTTTTTTTATTTCAGAAAGCATTTGAGCCAACAGATAAAGGATCACAATTACTTCCAGAAGAATGGAATACACGTCCAAATTACACATTACGTTATATAAATAACAGCAAATTGTTCATATTTCATGGTGTAAAGTCTGATGAAGATCTACTTATAAACCTATTGGTAATTTAGATTGTATAATATACTATATATCAATAACTGATCTGTATCATAGCAGAATAATGGATGTAAATATTCTATTTTGCAGAGAGTTGACAATCAGAATGTATCCAGTCTTCAGTTTCCAATTAATCAGACTGTAAATGAACTTCGTGGAGCTTTAGAAGATGTAATACCTTCATACCAAAATATTATAAATATAATTCAGAAAGATCTTGTAGAACCATTGCTTCCTAGCAATACCACGGAAAATTCTACTCAAACAAGATCTGTAAATGATCAACCAAGAGACGATCCATTAAGAGCTGATCCATTAAGGGTAGAGTCAAGACGTCCCCCGTCCTCATCATATCTATGGTAATGTTCGCATCGATTCATAAATATTTATGTTCATGATTTTGGAAAAATTATGTGATAAGGGCTGACAGGGAGACAAAAAATTGAAGAATCGATGCGATTTTTAGTGCATTAAATTTATAAATAACATGTGAAACGTCTTTACAGAATTTTCGTAATTCCGATGATATAAATCTGGACGACTTTCCATCAATTTTTGAATTCTAAGTCTTTAACGTTTCATCTCACGAGCATGAAAACGCAATCCCCCTTCCTCGTTTGAAACGATCAGAATTAAAACTCTTACATTTTGCGAATACAGTTGAGCCTGCAAACGTAATTGGTATACATTTTTATTCTCTCCATGACAAGCCTAAAATAATTGTATTCCCTTTGCAACAACACTAAAGAAGCTTCGTGTGATGCAAACCTTATGTCACAAGAGCTATTCCATTAAAATGTTTATGTAAAATTTTAAAGGAATCCGGAAACTGATCCCACAAGGGTGGGAGCTGCAGATTTAAATCCATTGGGACGCGGTGGCGGTATGATTTTTGATCCATTTTCTTCGCAACGTAATCGCATGGATCCGATTAGACCCGGCTTAGGAGTTCCTGGTAGATTACCATCGTAAGTTGATAGTAGAAGAATATAAAAATATTTTATTTCAATCTCTATTAAAAATATTTACAGAGGCGCAGTTCCACCATTTGCAAGATTCGATCCTTTTGGTCCACCAGACATTGATCGACCAAGACCACGTCACGATCCAGACAGTGATCACCTACCTCCCCCAGGATACGACGACATGTTTATGTAAAACAAGAGAACAAAACTTGGCCAATAAAGAAAGTATATACGGACTTACGGCGTGGTTTTGTACGTTATTACTATAGAGTCGCGAGATATTTATAATTTTGTAAAAAAAAAGAAGAAAAAAAGAAAATAGCGAAGCTATTTGAGAAATAAATGATTCCACTTGTTTGCAAAAGAAAAATTGCAATGAAACATTTTATTTTGGCAACGCATCAGACATATAAGTGATACATCACAAACCACTTCTTCACGAAACGACTTCCATTCTTTTTTATTTCATTACTGATGTTTTACAATATAACAAAATTCCTCGTTTAATTTAATTCAATGTCATTAATACAGCAGTAGATAGGAAATTACATTAACAAATCAAATATATAATATTTTCGTTTAAATTGCGCTAACTCGTTAAATTTATTCTTTTTTTTTTTTTTTTTTTTTGCATAATCGATTCGAAAGGAGTGACTGTTCTTACTTTACGTCGGTTCAAAATAGAGGATTTCTTTGCTACCTAAGTTGTTCTTGTTCTTAATATTCATATGAATTGAATTATACTCTTTTTTTATTTTTATTTCACTTAACGTACGAAACGATTTTCCACAATGGCCGTTTTATAAAATAACGGCGATTAAATGAAACACCTCATGCTTTTTTTTTTATGGATCACCTTTCGTCATCTGAACGATAAAATAAAATTTGATACAGCGTTTCGATTCAATTCTTCGAGAATAAAAGTTTTTCTTCCTTTCCTCGTTTAACACGCGGTGAGTATGCAAAATAGTAAATATTCAGATCAAAATATATTTCTAAATATAATTTTAAATAAGATCTACAAATGCCCATTTTTAATTGTTCGATTTTAAAATATGCGGGCCGCCGCGATTCTCGTTAACCTTGAGAAAGATCTTTTTATCATTATTTTTCCATAGGTAGCGCATGTCCAATAAACCCAATTAATTCGACCTAGTTTTCGATTTTTTTCTCCACAAAAAATGTATCACAGATAAAACATGTCCACTCATAATATACGTAATTACTTCAAACAGGTGAAGTATAATCGCTTGAAGAAGTGAATCGACGTGCAAAATTAAATTCCACATGATAAAAATTCGTTGGTAACTTTCTCAATGAATTGCTAGGTATACCTAATTAAAGTATTAATGTTTTACTAAAAACGAGAGAAAAAAAAAGAAGGAAAAGAAGAGAAAAAAAAAAAACAAAATTTGTTCCACTGATCGTGATTAATTGTTAAACATAACCTAAGGAAAAAGAGAAATGAAAAATCGAACAATCAGAGGATTGTTCAATTTCGAATCTAAGGCTTGATTAATTCTTCTTTATTTTTACGAATGTCCCTCGTCCCATCCTCTGGTAAAAAATATTGCAGTTTTTTAACATTACAAAAAAGGAGCTGTACCAGGTTCAAATTTCATTTCGAGTCTGCGATTATGGTGAATGTACAACGGTTGTACATGGTACTTACTTAAAAATTATGCACGTAAAGGAATATGTTTTATTAGTGGCGTGTCGCGCAATTAAATTCATTTCATTTTGTCAATAGTTTCGTAGAAAAACGTCATTCAGAATTCTTACACGCTAATCATCAAAAACAGGGAGAGAGAAAAAAAGAAAATACAGACATCGACTACAGATATCTCATCTCATCACATCACTCTTGTACACAACTTTCGCTATAAGTACGAGAAACGATTATAAACACAATATTCACGTATTGTAATATATACAGAAACGTACATTCACGTTAAATCGGCAGACGCATGAAATGATATAAATATTACATTCATTAGTTTAGGAGCGAATTCTTTTTTTTTCTATCTTTTGAACACAGTTTAGTGTGGCGTACAGCATCACCGACAATTTTACCAAAATTGCGATTATGATTACAATATATGCTTCACACAAAACGCGTATGCAGCCTTTTTAAAATTTATCGAATAAAAGTGGATGTTTTTTTTTTTTTTAAATTTTGGTGAAATTGTCGTTAAGCTACGATAAAAGTGATATATAACTCTGGAGTGATTTCTTTTTTCCTCACTTTGTTTCGCAATATTCGTTATTTCAAGTTAACGCAGATTCCAAGTCCAGTAAGAGTTAAGAACACTCATCAATTCGGCATGCCATTGGAAATGCAACGCAATGTTCCTTTCATTTAAGAGATATACTTTAAAAATTTACAAAGTTTCAAAATTTCTAAATTTTCGTGTGTAAATCATTTTCTCTCGTACAGATTTTCCTTCGAAAGTTTTTGAAGTGCGACAAATATATTAAAATGTATATTGCAACTTCAACGTTGATTGTTAATAATGCATATCAAATTTGATAGGGTACAGATAATAGAAAACAATATTTGAAGAATACTTGCAATACAGCGTGCATTCATCGAATGATTATTTTTATAAATTCAACTAAATTAATATACCGTTCTGTTTTTTCCTTTTTTTTCTTTTTTTTTTGTAATACAGATGACATGAACTACCACATTTTGTTGAAAAAATGCATACTTTTAGTATATTACTCCAATAGTACAAAAACTTTTTGTTTTTCCTTGTTTATGTTATATGCAAAACATCTGCAGAAAATATGTATTTAATAACAATCTAAAAAGTAAGTATGTCGAAAAACTATTGTTAATTGGACGTTTAATCATTTTTTTGCATTTAATTATTATGGAAAACGTGAGTTAGTTTTTTATTGCACAATTTTCTAAATAGCTAAATTTTATGACGACTGAGTAGCAAAGGAACCATTATTACTAAAAATTTTTACTAATTCATATAGGTGCTTGCTTCAACCATGCTTAAAATATCTTGCACAAGTAACATATTAACTAATGTTCATAAATTAATTAGTAACATTAGATGTCTATTTCATTGGACCAAGTAAATGCAGCCTTCTAGAATACAATAATTTTAAAATAAGATACTAAGTATTATTATAAAACACATAAGCTGATCTAATTCCTTTTTCTTTCTTCATTTATTTATTATATAAACGATCAGATCCATCCGAATTTTATTACTATTACGTATCACGTTCAGAAGACATTTCTTATTCTGTAGCATTTAATATTAATTTAGTATCAAAAATAAATATAAACATTTCGTAAAAGAAGAGTGCAAATAATCACATGCAATTTACTTTGCTTTTAAATTGCTTCATTTATGCTGGAGGATCAGATGGTGCAAAATATACGTATTATTAAAACTGTTTCACAAGTGGTATGGTTGCATTTCCATTGATAGGCCTTTCAGAACAGAGTCGATACGGTATGTCTCTTGTTATCAGGCGCGAAAACCTATACAATTAGGTATACCAATCAGTATGAATTAGTAACTTTTCAAAGAAATCGTTTAATCTATTGGACGCAGCAGGAGTTCTTTTGTCCATTTTTGAGCTTCAATCGAGATTTGGGACGATACTTTTCAAGATAGGCCAGCTGCTTTGAATTAATAGCACCTCGCCTTTTGCTGAAAAAGTAAATATCATATTTTTTTCGAGTTGCCTCGTACTTAATATACATAAAGATCAAGCAAATTTAAACATATACTTACTCCCTAATTAATGCGACCGCATCTTCATACTTTAACCCCAGCTCAATAAGAGCAAGTGCAACTAACACCGGTGCTCTACCAAGCCCTGCGACACAGTGTACGGCCACGCATGCATCAGGAGATTCGCGGAACCGATTTTTTAATAGTTCGAACCATTCGTCGATAACCTATGAGAAAAATTCGATTAAAATCGAATAAATTTCATCGCGTAGTTTCCTTTAAAATGCCATTAAAACAATGATATTTACTTCGTTTGGTGGAAATGTTCCATCATCAAATACCAAGTCTATGACATTGATCCCTTCTGCTTTAAGTTCCTCTACTTTGTACGTTGGTTCACAGACCCTCACCACTTCTTTGACATTGTGCTTCTTCAGTTCCTGTTGAGACAATAATATTTATACTGATTCCATTTTATAAAAAAAGTTACCGATATCTATTTATAAACAACGGCAAAGAACTTACTTGAATAAAAGTGTGAATGGTCTGATCATTGGGCCGATCAGTAATGAGGAACTTCATATTTTTGTATTCAATCTCAGCGGGTTCCGGTCTGATGTCCTTCACCCTCATGTTGCTCATTTCCTTTTTGGACAACAAGTGGTGTAAAACTCCTACTATTTTTATGTTTTTGACGATTTTGTACGACACTGTTTCTCTTTATTTTTGCAATGTGCCACACTATACGAAGCAATAATACAAAGGCTGAATTTGAGAACTTAGCCCATAGATGTCAGTCTTATAAAGTTGTTTTTCATTTAACTAATTGAATACTTTGTTATTTTTTTACAGAGGACAGAACAATGGGTTCACATGTAGACCTCGAGGAAGGTTGTTAAGGTGCAAATTTCCTTGAAAGGGTGAGGACTACGTTACATTAGGCGTTGTTGATATGCGATTGATTCCCACTTGGGATCCTTGACTATGATTCGGAAGATTAGCTGAAAAAAATAATCACTCTGATAACAACTCTCGAGTGATCCAGCTCACATACAACAAGAATTCTCGACATTGGTGCTTACCTATTTGGCACTGGCTGCGCCTGGATCAGGTGCGCTCAGTAACTACAATGCTTGCATTTAATATTGTAAATTAACAATTGATTCTATTTAATTCTTCTATATTTTGTGATGACTAGCTGATGATTTTCTGACTTCGAGGCAGATGATCCCAATATCAAAAAATTTTTCTTTGCCTGATTGAGATGTTATTTTTTTTTTTATTTCTTCTTCAATAGTGCCTAGCAGGTTCTAGGATATTTGGGTGTGTCTCTCTATTTGTGTTGAGCCTGGCAGTATTCTGCACTATCCAGCTGAAACTCCATGTATGTGAGGATGCACTCACCAGGAAACTGTAACACAAATGTGAAGACAAACATTTAACGAATATTTATCTTACAAGGTTTCATAAATTAACGAGTATTGTTTTTTTTTCTTTTCTGAATGCTGAATTATTTTATCTCGAAGAATTATTGCTTTTCAGAGAACGATATTTTCTCCATGTAAAACGAATATAGGTTAAGTCTGCAAGATGGTGTATTGTATTATACATCCTTCAGAAAGACACAAAACGCGTGACGATAATTTCCACAAATGTAACGAAGATTCTATTTCAAAATCGTTCAGATATTTTTGTTTCGTTCGCAACAAGGAAATGATTGCAGATCATGAAACGTTCGACACGTGCCAAATCTTGCGCCAAATTTCCGCGCGCGCAACAAACATTCTCGCAGAATTTTCTCACCCAGAGTATTTGAAACAATCGCGACGACACTTGGCTATAATAATTCATTACGGACGCGCGACCACTGAGATTTTTATCGCGGAAAAGACGTACGTTCGACGACGTAAATTCCAGACGACGTGCGTTGTCATAATGACGTTAGTCGATCTCTCGAGGCTCGAGCAAAATCGATTGAATAATACGATACCGCGTGACGTACATCCGAACGTTTTGACATTTTCATTGACATTTGCGTTAGAACGCTAAGTGCTGAATCAAAAATGACAAAAAAGAAACAAGTAGGAGGAATGAACGTGAAAAACTCGTGAAATTAATTAATAATGACTTTCAACTTTCATAATGACATTCAAACTGACGCAAGAATTGCAGTTCGGTATATCGGATTGCAACTAACCTAACGAAGTATAAAAATTTATATTTTTATTTAATTGTAGTTATATTATATTATAATTATATTCAATACATATTATATATTTAATTTTTATAATTAATTTCTATCTTTATTTAGTAACACTTTTATTATTAAATTTATATTTCGTTTATTGTAGCGAACGTATAGATCGCACTGCATAAATCGTTTGGTATAATTCAATTATAAATATAAAAAAGAAACAGAAGCATTAGAAGAGGAAAGCAAAGCGAACGTTGGAGAACGTATTTTAAATTTATCAGTGGCGCTAGTAGCGCGTGATCTCGTCGAGCATGATGGTACATATTCAAACGTGGTTTCAACTAGCGCCGAAGAAAGAAGAATTCCTTTCCCTTTATCTTTCTTTGGCACGAACATTTCGCGCGAATGCCAAATGAAACAGACAGATCAGATTCGAAGTGGTGCTTCCGTCATTTTATGCATCTGGTTTTAGGATGCCGCGATGCGTTCCGTTGATCGCAAATAGAAATGTCTAGGTCGACATTCCGCGAACTGGACACCTACGTTACCTACCGAGAAATTTGCCGTGAAATTGAGCGTGAAATGTAATTCGATTTAAATATGCAGCCGAAACGACGACGTTCACGCCATTCGCGAAATTCAATTTTCAGGTGCTTGAGTTTTAATGACATTCAATTAAAATTTCGTTTAATTTACATACAGACGGGCGCGCGTGCACGAGATGGCAGTTGATTAAGTAGGAACATTCAACTCTTGCTTTACTAATTGAAAACATTTTTTTTTTTTTTTTTTTTTTTTTTAAAGTAAAATATTTGTTTCTTTCAAACCTTCTCGCCGCAGTTACTTTTCATGAAGCGCCGGACGTGAGTTGATTAAGTACCAAAACACGATTAAATTTATCGACACAATCCAGTTCTCTCTGTCACAATGCAGTTCTTTACACAACTTTAAACTTTACGTTTCAGGGAATAATTTGTAACATCAGATTGCCGAGAGCCGAGGATTCTTTTTACGTGGGACGAACTGCCAACCGGTTGATGCCGCGCAATTGAAGCAAGCTTCGACTGACAGTCGCCTCTTTACGGGCAGCTTTGTAAATTTGAAACGCACATCGTCGCAAATATAGGCGCCGATACACGACACGGCACGGCACGGCACGAGTGGCGCAGCCTCTCGTTCCGACAGGACGTCGAGACACGATTTACGAAATCACTTTTTACGTAACGAAAGTCTGCCGAAGCAGAGAGGATATAGCCGGATAGGCGATGACGGATAGGAAAAAGTGAGAGCGCTCAGATCGACGTACCGGAATAACCGAAATAATTGGCAGCCAGCGCAACGAATAGCCACCGACGGCGTCTCCTCCTCTACGCGTGTTTGCAATGCGCTCGCTTCAAGGTCGGGGAGAGACCATCTCGCTTGAACCCTACACGTCTCTATTATATTCAATCTGTCTCACAACAGGTCCCCTTCAACATTCTCGATTGATAATGAGAAGGTAAAACCCCTATCACGCCAGTGGGGATCAATTTGTGGCGGACAAATTGTGCGTATCTCCAAGCGCGGATTGATCCCACTGGGGAAGGGATCAAGAAAGTATGTTAGAATTTCTTCGATATTTTAGGTGATGGTAATGGCATTGTAACACACACACATATACGCAATAACTGTTATTTCATTTAATTATATATTTTCTTTACATTTATATATTTATATAATATATTAATCATATATTTAATAATTTTGAACACTTTCTTTCAGATATGTGTCTGTGATTGTGAAAGGTGGTCTAAGTCTAAGAATTTAAAAAAGGAAAAAAATCAGTTCATCAGTTACTTCGCATTCTTCTAAAATAACATAATCTGATGTGATTTCTAAGAAACTGCAGAAATTGATGTTCATTTTGATAGTGGCAGGGCAAAAATATACAAAAGTATATATCCATATATGGTACCATTATATACCACCATCAGAGCAATAACAGAAGAAAAATATTAAGATATGAAGGGTTTAAGATTTACTACCTTACATGCTATCAATTTATCAGAAACAGTATTTGAAACAACTGAAAATTCCAAGGAGGAGGATGAGAAGGAAATCAATGATGATAAAAGCTAATTAAAAAATTTTTTTCTTTCTTTCTTTCATAATAAAATTCGTCCTTTCTCATTGGATTGCAAGACTACTCACAATCAGTTAATTTCGTTTCCAAGTCATTTCACAAGCTCACAAGATTTCACAGCCGTGACAAATTATCTTACCAAGACCAAATTATTCCCTTAGGAGTCTTACCGTCGTGATTTTTTTGGTCACTTGGCGAGAAAGACTATCGTGCCCTAAAAAATACAAATTCCGTGACGAGAGTCAAATGGGAGACTTAGAGAGGTGAAACTGAAGAGGAGATATAAATGAACGGTGTCAATGAATGGGACACGCCACGTGTATGTGGATTTTACCGTTAGCACCTACGGCGGGACGTCGCGCCGGTGGGAAAAAAAGATTCACTGAAATCAACCTAGAAACCTACTTCAGAGCACACACGCATGAGCTACGTTAAGCCCTAGTGAAAACGAATACGAAGAGGCCGTATGCGGGCACCGGTTTCCTCGTTTCACACTCGTGCATCGCAACTCGAGAGAGACAAGTGAAACCTCGCCGTGCATTTTTTTTTTTTTT